AGTTGCTACCGCCTGCTCCATTCGGCATTGTCCGGAAGTGGTCTGTGTAGCTCAGTTGGTAGAGCGCGTGCTGTTTAATCCGACGGTCCTGGGTTCGATCCCCGGGTCCCGCCTGATTTCCCGTCCGGTTAAAACCGGATACGACCACCGGGGAAGAGGGACTGACAAGGGAATTGCAGGACCGGGTACCTTACCTTAATTGGGGGTACCCCGACAAACGGCGCGTGGCGTTGCATGCGCTGAAAAGTTCGTGCACCGTCTAAGGGTGGTAGCCCACTGAATAAGTGAGGTAGTGCCACTATGGCGTAACCGTAATACAGCGGTTGCGCCACGTAGGTGTCCGCAGAAATGCTGGCACCACCCCCCACACCCCCACCACACAACCATGATGTGAGGCGAAGCAGCCGGTCCGTACGCCAAGCCAATAGTAGCACTTTCGATATATCCGGTTAAACGAATTAATAGCACTCATCTATGACAACGGCATTGTCCGAATCTCACTCCAATGTCCTAATTAGTACGGAAAAAGGCCGGCGTTGAAACGACGTCGCCGGTTTCACCTCAGACAGGCGGTATCTCACAGCATGTGCATCCTCGCCAGCGCGTCGCTGCTCGTCTCGGGCGTCGTGCTCGTCGTCTACGGCGCCATCTACGCCTCGTACCACGCGCAGCGCATCGAGAACGTCGAGGGCTTGCGCTTCGTGCCCAACGCCGCCGCCAACCCGTCCGGGTACGCAGCCTTCCTCGCCGTAAGAACCGAGTCCCGCTACCATTCGAAGGTCTGACAAACGCATTAGTCGCCGACGCTGGGCGTCCAAGGCCTCGAGCCGCAGACGCGCAGCTACTATGTCTTCAACATCACCAATATCGACGCCGTCGTCGCCGGAACCGCGGTGCCACACGTGCAGCAAGTTGGTCCATACGTCTACGCGCTGACGTCTACCAAGAACAACGTGCGCTTCAACGGTTCGACCGTCATGTACAGCGTCGGGTCGAACTTTGCCGAGCTCCCCACGCGCTCGAACGGCTCGTCCAGCGACGTCGTCTACACGGTGCGCGACGAAGGAGTTGAAGCAACGGGATGGATCCGTGATATAGGTCAACACATCGTATGCGCGGACGCTCGCCAAGCTGGGGAACGCAGGCTTCTCCGAGCGTCTTCTTGTCGCAGCCCATGCGCAGACGCAGCTGTCAGCGTACGCCGCCTACCTGGAGGGCCCGATGCTCGCCTTCACCAAGCAGCGCCTCGCGTTGCCGTACCTTGCGACCATGGCAGTAACCACTCGCACAAACGCGCTGCCGGCGGCGCTATCGAAATTCCAGGCCCAAGTGGCATCGCAGACACTGCCGCAGAATCTGTTGCGACTAATTGCAACGACACGGCAGGCGTACATTCCAACGCTACTTCGCCCGATGTACGAAGCCTTCCTCGTCAACTATGTGCCAATGACGCTGTCGAGTCACCTCGCAGCGCTTCAGGTACAGTCGGTGCCGCGCGTTCTCTCCAACGTCCAGGCGCGCCTCGCTGTCGAGGCGGTGCCTACGATGCTCACCCAGCGTCAAGCGCAGCTGCGGTCGACCGCCGTGCCCGTCGTGCTCTCGCGAATGCTCTCGCGCCTGCCGACGTACATTTCATTCCCGTACTTTGCCCGGGACATGATGGAAGAAGGTAGTCGTTGACAACGCGCTTGATGCATGTGCAAAGACCAGCTGCGGGATAGCGTGCTTGGAAGCGGTACCGTCGATGCTGAGCACCATCAAGGCCGGCGTCGTGCAAGCGTACGTCGACCAAGGCGCGTCAGCCGCCACCGCGCAGCAAAATACAGTGCTGCAGTGGCTCTCGGCGGCCGGCCCGTGGACGAACCTTGACGCAATGGTCGGCGGGAACCCGACAGGGCAGCCGCGCTACGGCTTTGAGCTTCGATCGACGGCCGAGTAGGCGAAGCACACAATGTTGGTGGTAGGGAGACTCATGCTCGTGTAGTCCGTCACTCGCATCCTTGGCGCTGAGCACCGACGTCGGCAACTTGCTCTTGGCCGCGACGACCAACCTCGACTTTTCGCTACTAGACTATACCCCCACGGATACCAACCATGGGTTTGGGCTCTGGAAACAGGTGGTCGCGATGAATGAAGCGGCGATCACCGCGCTCATCGCTGGCGTCAACAACGAGATCGCGCTACCGGCCAACTACCTCACGCGCGCCCAGGTCCTTGGCGTCCGTGGCTACATTCTGTCGTGGAGCAAAGGCGCGATGCTGCACCGCGACCGTCAACGGTACGTTTGATCATTTGCTCGCACTTTCTCTTAGGAGCTGTGGGCTAGGTACTGGGCGACAGCGTACGCGCAGCGCACGGCAGGCAGCGCCAACGAGCCAAGCGTCGATATCGACTGGGTGACGTCCGGTGTTCAAACTGGATTTCCGCTGCCATCGACCAACCTCGGTCTCTCGGACGCGCAGTGTGCGAGGCTGTGGGACACCACGGTGTCGCCCTCGTTCTTGACGCCGACGGGATATGTCACGTGGACCGCTGCGGGCGCGTCCGACAGCGCCGCCGTGAGCGCGCTGCAGTCCACGTTTGGCCTCTCGACGTCGCAGGTCCGGTGGTTTCTTCTGCAACCAATTTGCCGATCGTTTATATATGGTAGCTCACCGGCGTGCTCGCGTGGATCCAAGCGCTCACGTCCAGCGCCAGTGTGAAGACGAATGCGATTCGCCACTGGGGCCTCGGCGGCACGTGTCCGTCGCCGTTCAACAACGTGTCGAGCTGCGCAACGTACCAGCTTGAGCCACATCTAGGGACCTCAGTATCTGGTTGGGAGCTTCCCAACGCGGCGAATCTGGTGTTTTCAGAAGCCCTTGTCGCGTACCTCTGGGATGCGACGCAGACATTCTCGTTCCTTCACCTTGCGTCGGGCTACACGAGCTGGGTCAACGTCCTTCTCTTGCCAAACGGTCTGAGTAGCCTCACAACATCGCTCGCAGCTCTCAACCTCGGCGCTGTCTCGGAGGACCACGTGCGACTGGTATTGCTTCAGAATGTGGTGCTGTTCCAGACAGATACTGAAGTGATGTAGGTGGCAACGTGGCTCCAGAACTGGTCGCGCCATCCGCTGCTCTTGCAGGCCATGGACCAGACGTGGCGCGACCCGACGACGTTCCCGTTCCTGCCGGCGACGACGCTTGCGTCGCTGACGACGTACCTCATCAACCGCCCGACGCTGTCGGCCGCCGCTGCCGCGTACTTGAACAGCCCGAGTAGCACCTACGCCGCGCTCAATACTGCAGGGTACGCAGTGTGGATGAGCTCGCCGTCGAGTGCACAAGTCAGCTCGATGCTCGCGGCCATCAACGCCCAGCTGCCGACGTTCTGCACGCAACTGCTCGGCGGCGCCAACTCGGCGCTGTTCGCCACGCCGCTCGCGGGGTCGTGTGGTGTGCTGACCGCCGCCGACATGACCGCGCTCCAGACCTATGTCCAGAACCAGAAAACCGACGCGTACATGCTGCAGGCGCTGCGCGAGCAATGGCGCTGCGGTCTCAGGAATTGGAATCTCGAGCCGTACCGGGCAGGGCTCCAAGTCGGGTGGGAGCTCTGTCGCAACAGCTCGTGCAACCTATCGCTGGTCAACGGCACGAGCTGCGTCGTGCCCTCCGCCGCCATGAACTTGTGGGACACCGCGAATGCCCTCTCGTTCCTTAAACCCAGCGTGTATGGCGCTGCTGGCATTCTCAGATCTGGTGCTGAGATTATATTATGGTGTAGGTACCAGACTACGTGGCTGGCTGCTCAGTCGGCAGACGCAGCAACCTCAGCACCGGCAAAGGCAGCGATCGCGGCGGGGCTCGGGCAGGCGTCGTGGCTGCCGTGGATGGATGTACGTTTCCAGCGTGCAGCATGATGGACAACTTGTCTCTTATGTCTAGGTCATCTCGCAGTGGCTGGTGTCGTGGGCGACGCTCGACTACACCATTCGGGACGTTCTCGGTCTCTGGTTGAAGGCAGCGTGCACGATTCCGACCGTGGTCTCGCAGACGCCGGTGACGACGACGGCGTCGACGGCGTCGTGCGTGCCGTCCACAACGACCACGTCCGATGCGGTGCAGTACACCAACTTGGTCGTCGGTGGACGGCCCACGACCTATTTCGCCTCCAACTTTGCCGAGACGAGCTACACCGATACGCCCAACATCGCGGTCTCGACAGTAACGACGGTCGTCACGTGCACGCCGACGACGACGACGACAACGACGACGACGACTGTGACGAATGGACCGCTGTGCCTCATGTCGGACGTCACGCCCGGCCTCCCCTTGCTTCAGACTGGCTTTGAGCTCGGCGCCGTCACGTCGACGCTTTCAATGAATTTGGTGCAACTCTTCCTCTGGAACCCGGCAACGCCCGTGAGCTTTCTCAATATGACGGCGCTCAACACGCTCTGGGTGCCGGCGGCCACCGATGCGACCAAGGTGGCCGCGCTCGTCGCGCTCCTTCCCGGCGCGTCACTGGCCGACGTCACCACCGTTGTTCAATGGCTGCGCGCGTGGCGCACCAACCAGCTCATGTCGCTCTTTGCCCAGACGCAGTGGATCAACCCGTCGACGTCCGTGCCGCCCTTCAACCTCGATCCGAGCGGCGCGAGTACGCAAACCGGTTTCGAGCTGCGGTTCACATCGACCGATGCGAGCACGTACCCGTCACTGGTGCAGGCGCAGTACCTCTGGTCCCCCTCCAGCGCCTACTCGTTCTTGGACACCGCGACGGGGTTCCCGACGTGGGTCCAGGCGTATGCCGGGTCGCTTCCGGCGTCCGAAGCGTTTGTCGATCTGCTCGCCCGGTCACCAACGACGACGACCACGACGCAGACGGCAAGTGTGTCGGCGGTAGCGACACTGCAGAGCGCCACTGGACTCTCGACAGCACAGATACAAACCGTCTCCAAATGGTCGGTGCACTCGCAACCTCAATACTTCTACAACTAACTATCTACTAGGCTCGTTCAGTGGGCTGACCACCCGTTTCTCTGGAGTGTCCTTCTGTCCCAGTGGATCTCCAAGACAACCGTGTTTGCATCGACGCCATCGACGCTCAACCTTGCGGCGCTGGATGCTTCAGGCGCGATGACGTCCCTGACTGGGTTTGAGCTCACGGTGTCGACACGTGTCACGCCGGCGCAAGCGCGGCAGCTCTGGAATGTCGCCAACGCAGCGTCGTTTCTCAACCCCAATCTGCTCATTCTGTGGTGTTTTTGCCACCCGCAGATCACGGCCGCGTGTCCACACCTCTCGGACGCCACGGGGCAGCTCCCCGCAGCGGCGAATGCGTCGGCGGCGTCAGCACTCACTCGATACGCGGGTCTGGCGCCGGGGTTTCAAATGACGAGTGCTCCGACAGCTACGCTTGCCCAGTCGTTTGTGTCGCTAGCGACAGGGCTGGCCCCCGCTGACGTCACGGCCGTCGCACGCTGGCTGTTCGAAGCCCCCCAAGCGTCGTTCTATCAGTTCTTACTCCAGTCGCAGTGGGCGACAGCGGGGCTGCCACTCTATCCAAAGTAGGTGCGTCAGAATGGCGACACTGTACGAACGTGACATCTGTAGGAATGCAGGGTTCGAGCTCGCGTACATCTTCGACCTCACGGCCACGACACCCCGCAACGCCACGGCGGCGCTTCTCGTGCCCAACACCCCAACGCCATGCGCCCCCATTGGCGCGGTCCTCGCCGCGCAGCTGTGGCAACCGACGTCGACCACGTCGTTTCTTCACAGTGTCGGCCTGTCTGCGTGGCTGGGCGGCACCATCGTCGTGCCCGGTCTCGCTGCGTGTCAAAAGACTCAGGTGTCCAACTGGCTGCTGTCGTGGCAACGCCACCCGTTCCTGCGGCAGTTTGTCGAGTACTCGTGGTGCGTCAATGAGCGTTCAATCGGCGCTTGATGCCCGCGTGGGGTGTTGTAGGTATACCACGCCCCTGCCCTGTACCCAGTCGCTTTTTGGCTGCAACCGCGGGTTTGAACTGGCGCTGCCGACCAGTATCCCGTCTCCGACGACTCTCCCAACGCTTGGCGCGATCGCAGCCATCGTCTGGGACGCCCAGTCGCCGCTTTCGTTCTTGCATCCGACTGGCGGTCTTGTCTGGAAGACGCTCCTCCTCGGTGCTTGCGGGTCGTCGTTTGCCAACGGCACGTGTGCGCCCGCGACGGTATCACCAAACGCACGAGTCTGCGCGAAGCTGAGCGCAACTGAATAGGGGGCGCCAGCGTCGGCGAGCTCGTACCTCGTGGGCCAGCTTGCGTCGGCGCTTGGCGTGTCTGCGCTCGTCAGTGACGTTCGTACCTGCGTCTACCTCATTGGCCAAGTACATTGGCGAGTTATCACTGTATCCGCCACTCTAACCTATTCCGCGTGTGTAGGTATGGCTACTTCAGCTGCTCGACAATCCCGGGTTTGTGAGCTACGTCTTGGCGGCGACGGGCGGTGCACCGACGCTGCTAGCGCTGCCCATGCAGCAGTTTGTCAACGCTTCCGTGCTGTCGATCAACGCGAGTATGACCGACGTGGGCATCTTCAGCCAGTTTGATTCCTCGATATCCCTGCAGTGGAACGCGACGAGCCAGGAGCTCGTCAACGTGACACAGCCGCCGCTGGTCGGCATTCCCGAGCTCAGCGTCTACTGCGCCCGCGCACCAAGCGGCTTTGGCGTCACACCCAACTGCGCACTGAGTCGTAGCTACACACTCGACTACGCGACGGCCAGAGGGCTCATGCTCGCGTTCAACGACATGACCGTCGCCAACCTCAACGGACTCGCCGTCGCACGCGGCGTCGTCGTCCTCGACACGTTCTTAGCGCAGCCGTTTCTGTCACCGGACGCGTGCGCGGCCGCGGTATCTCGCATGACGTCCCTCTTCCCGGCGCTTGTTGCGTCCACAGCTCGATGTAGTAGCGTCGGTCCGAGCTACCTCTTGATCCTGCCCGGCGTTGCGCCATTCGAGCTCACGGCGTTGGCGCCGATCCTAGATGTGCAAGCGTACCTCAAGTACACGGCCAGTGTCTTTGGCTACGCGTCGAGTGGCGGGCTCTTTGTCCAGACGTCGGTGCAGACGCTGCTGTGGCAGAACACGGCCGCCCGACGCCTCCGCCCGACGGCGACGACCACCCTATCCAACCTCGATTTCGGCGCCGGCGATGTGCTATCGACGGCCGTGACGGCCAACGTCTCGGTCGCCCCGGCGAGTCAGGCGGTGCAGACGTACACGTTCAACACGGACTCGCGCGTCGGGTTCTACGGCTGTCTCCTCGCTACCAACGGCGAGCCTGACGCCAACAACTGCACAACGTCCGACGGTTCGGTGTTTGCGACGGGTGCGACACCGGCGACGCTGGCGCTTCGCTGGCAGTCGCAGTCGCGCGACGTAAACTATAGGTACGCTGCCGAGATGCCGTGGATCGGCGTGCCCACGCGCCGGTACGTGGAGGCGGTCCCCGACCTCACCAACGTCTCGCACCTCTACGACGACCTCCCGGTGCTGAGCTCGTCGCCCCACCTCTATAACGTCACATCGACGCTTCCCTTTGCGACGGGACTGGCGCCGAATGCCAAGAGTCACACGATGCTACTGGACATCGAGCCTGTCTCGGGCACGGCGCTGCACCGACGCGATGCGTGGATGCTCAGCGTAGCGACAGGCCCCACGTGGCTGTGGCACCAACGCGTGCAGGTAGCGTACGTGCCGTTGACGTGGGTCCTTCAAGAGCAAGCGATTCCAGCGGCGTCTGCGAGCCTGTACCGGGATCTCACGGCGCCGGGCCCCATGGCACCGGAGAAGGTGGCCATCTGGGAACTCGTACTCGGGTTGGCGTTCGTCGGGCTTGGGATCTACGCGCTACGGCTCCTCTCGCGCGCACGCTTCAAGGACACGCTTTTGATCAAGCCCGTGGCCGAGATGCCGCCGATCAAGGACGCCGACGTGCACGCGACCGACGACGCGCTGCCCGACAAGACCAAAGCCATCTAGATCTCTTGATGCTCCACTGCACAAAACCAACTATCAACTTGATACACAAGATACCAACACGAATACATCTTGTTTTTTCATTAGAGCAGCCCAAAGCCTTCGGCTTGTGTGATCGCGAGCTCCAGGCGGTCCTTCATCTTCTCGCGCGTCGCGTACTCGGGCAGCAGCAGATGGTTGAAGCTATAAACCCACAAATCTTAGCCAAGTTGTCGCTAGCGTTCAAGTATACCAAGTGTGCGCGGTGGGCAGTCTACCAAGCCAACACGGCATGAGACAGGGACCAAGGACACAGGAGCTACCTGTCCGAGTCGGGGCCATTGCGCGAAATGACAAACACCATGTTGGAGAGCCCGCGGATGGGCGCGCGGTCACTGCCGGTGCAAAATTTGAGCAGCGCCTTCTTCTCGTCGAGGCTGAAGGCGTGGACGACGCTCCAGAAGTACCTAGTCAACAGTGGGCATCCCCGACAACAAAGCAAATGCAATCGATCAACGTACTGGATGCTTGGACTCTCGGCCGAGAAGCCGTCGTCGTAGTGGGCGACCTCTTCCAGCGCTTCAAAGTCCAATTCCGGGCTGCCGCAAATGAGAAGCTCGAGCTCCTCGGGTCGAAAGAGCTCGAGCGCATGGCCGCCGCAGACAAAGTGAAAGCCGCGGTGGAACGCGCCGTACTGCTGCGCGACCGACGTCGTCGTCACGTACTCGACATACTTGGCGACGTATTCGTCGCGGTTGGCAGCGGTCACGGCCATGTCCTTGCCTACGACCCCGTTTTTATCGACCACGTCGTAGGAGACGGGGTGGTACCGCCAGGCACAAGCTCGATCGTCTTGACTTGGCCAAACACTTCATACGAGAGCTCAAACGAGCGCTGAAACACACTCTCGACATCGCCGTCAAACGCGAGAAGCTGTCGCAGGCCCTTGCCGAGCGCCGGCTGCGACGCCTCAAGGTCGTGGAGCGTCACAGGCAGCCCCATGAGCTTCTTGTAGACAAGCGATGGAAAGTGCAGCTCGAGGATCACGCCGTTGTAGATGGCGAGCCCGAGAAGAACTCCGATGAGCTCAAACTCGGTCGTGCTCTCGTACGAGTCGCAGTTGAACCAGAGCGTCCGCGTCTCGTCGTCGGCGATGAACATGCCAAAGTTTGGGTCCAATAACTGCCGAGTGATAATCTACAATCGACAATATTGTGGTCAATATTGCCGTATGCTCGAGTGTGTATACCTGAAAAAATTCTTTTTGAACGCCGCCTTCGTCGACGCCCTCTTCGCCTAGTCGCACGAGTTAGTCGCCAATATTCGACGACTCGGACGTACCGATGAACTTGACTTTGAGCGGCTTCTTGAGCTGCTCCGAGGTCGCGACTTGCACGAGCTGCTGCAAAGCGTCTTCGATCACGTGCTCGCGACGGACACGAAGCACGAGGTACGGGTGCACGTGCTGGTCGGCCTCGGCCAGCGACGACCGAATGCTGTCGTGCACGCGGACGTTCTGCTGGTACTCGGCGTCAAACTGGAGAATTTTGCTCTTGGAGGCTGCGTCCAAGATGAAGGCAAAGTCGCAGAAGCTCAAGTCGCTCAGCTCGCGGCTCGAGATGCGCCCGTGCTTGTGCGTGAGGTAAATGGCCGACTTGACATAGTCCTGGAGCAAGTTGAGCTCGGTATTTGCCGCGTCGTTATAAAATGCATCGTAGCTCGCAAAGGGCATGTCAACGTTGATCTCGACGAGAAGCCGGATCATGTCGCACGCTGCAAAGATCGTGTCCATCTTGAGCTCGGCGCCGACCAGCGAGAGCGTGATGTACTGCTGGAAGACGTCGAGGAGCCGGTGCAGGTCGTCCGCGCCGAGGCTGCGCCAATGCGCCGCCAACGCAGCCTTCATATCGTCGGTCAAGTAGTACATGAGCTTGACCATGCCGCCGACGATCGACCGGTAGTCTGGGTCGAAGAGCAGCGGGTGCTCGAGCATGACAAAGAACTGATGCAAGCTCTCGGTTGACGTCCATTTTTTGCTGTTGGTCCACGGCTGCGTCACCCACGAATTGAGCGCGTTGCCCAGCGTGTTGGCGAGCGACGGCTGCCCGACGAGCCACGCAAGGCCCTCCTGGATCTCGGCGCGCGAGTGGTTGGGGAAGCAGGCGGCGTTGAGCGTCTCGGACTGCGAGAAGACTTCATATACGATCTTCTGCAGCGCTGACATGGACAAGGATCCACTCTGGAGCATAGCAAGCGTTAGCACTGAAGCTGGTGCGGGCGCCATCGGCGCGGGCGGCGGCTGTACTTGATTGCCGCTGTCCGACATGTCGTGGTCGTGCACCGTGGCGGGCTCCTGCACCGACGACTTCTCGTGCATGCGCGTGAGGGCTTGGGCTACAGCGTCGTTCGGGTCGAGGCCATGGGCTACGGCTTCAGCATAGAGCTGCTGGAACTGCTGCTTCAGCGCCTCCGTGTCCATCGTGGCGTCCGTGGGGCCAACTTTTCGAGATCTGCCGTCGTCTCCGGGAAAACTCCGGCATTTTCCAAAAACCTTTAGTAATCTCTACGGCGAGCCGTATCGATTTGCACGGGTATATATGCCGAATTTAATGTTTAAATGTGGCATCCAGATCGCGTGCTGTGAGGCATCATCAAGAAGCCCAAGGACAAGCACCGGCGTTGTTGTTGTTGAAGTGAGTCTATTTAGATATAATTTACACTGAACTGGTTTTGGGGGATGGACTTTCGATTCAGAGCGTGTTGTGCTAGACGGCATCAGCGGCGAGGCTTAGCCGTGTTGAAGGCGAGGCGTGTGGATGGCGCACGCCGGGACGAAGTGGTCACGAAGCCAGGCATCGTGGCGCAGGGCGTGCATCATTTGGAAGAGGCACATCGCTTGGGTATTCAGCATCAAGTGGTGAAGATGCATCTTGGTCAAAAACGCGGCGCGGGCGGCGGCCGCTTCGGGTGTCATGACGGGCGCCTCGGGACGGAAGACGCGGTCGTTGCGGGCGAGCCAGACAGTGTGCATCACACAGAGACAAGCACCGGCGTTGTTCCAGAAAATTGGTCATACATGTGCTCGTAAGCATCTGTGCCGAGCCACCAGCGTAAGCGCAGGAATTACCACTTGGAGCTCGACTTGCGTCCCTTTCTAACCGTTTCTCACTGCTGCGAGATCTTGAAGATCGCCGACGACACTGGCATGGCAAGGCTCAAGGCTGGCGCCACCAATCATCGTTGTGTCCTGAGCTTGGTGTCGCTCGTGGTGCGAATAGGCATCCAATCCCAGGATGACGCAGATGCACGTGGCGATGTCAGTGCCCGCTTGCACGCGCAGTAGTAGACAGTACACGACTGCTCCGGCCGCGGAAATATAGGTGGCACCCTTCACCACATTTCTGGTTCAGAGAGCAAGTCCAGCGCACACTCTAGACCTGTATGAGGACTCCAAACCAGTCTGCACCAACGCTGCTTGCAATGCATGATCATAGTCCAGTCCTAACATCGAGTCGCACTTTCATCAAGCACCAGCGTCGTGCCACGGGCACAGTGGCCTCAAAGATCGCACGCTTATTTTCGGCACCGTGCCGAGTGGAGCCGATCACGGCATCGTGGAGGCGCTGGCGCCATCATGACGCGACAGCTGTCGTCGGCCGTTGCCTCGACACGCTCTGTGGCCTCGCCGAGTAGAAGGTTTACGGACCTGGGCCTGTCTGTCTGGCGTCGTCGACGCGATGTCGTGGCTCGACACCAAGGGCAAACTCAGAGAATTTCAACGCGTCTAGTCATCACGTGGGATGTGGCCGAAGGACGATCGTCGCTTGCCACGATGCTGATGGATGAGATCGCATCGCGGGCCACTCTGCGTTTCTACTATCGGGAAGCACGCTGTCGACAAAATTTGTGCGGTTTGTGGATTTGCAGCGCTTCTGCACATGGTCCTACAGTCCACGGTGCGATGTCCAACTCTATCATGGTTGGGAGAACGAGTAGTGCGCTACGTGCAAGCTGATCTTCACAGGCACTCGCGTCAACACCGCAACGGCGCACGAACGATTCTGGTTTGATCCAAGTTCTATTCACTTAAGTCGTACAGTACTATGGTGTAGAGAGAGGCGCTGGCTCAACTCAGAACGCCGCGCTGCGTCGACATCCGACTGCGTCCGTCAACTGCGTCACACGCTTCCAGGTGGCGCCACATGGTCCACGTCCCTTCCTGAAACCACCTATTCCACGGTCGCCCTTCCGCGGTCACTGGACCGATTCGCGGCTCTATTGCCCCGTCACACAGAACGACGACGGGATACCCCGGGGCACGCCTCCATTTGGCGGTACGCAGAGCGGCACGGGGTCGCAACGGTCTCTTCACCCAGCCACCCACGCGTCACCAAGGACCCTTTCGATCTCGTGTCGCAGTAGGTAAGGCCGCTGCTACTGACTAAGGAGCCACTAACGTACACGCTGGCTGATTGGCAAATTGCACTGTATCGGGGGTCGAAATCTGTCGACGAATCGCCTCCTCGATCCGCGGTGGGTCACGCGGCCACGAACCCAATGATTGGCTCTGTACGCGATGTGATTGGTCCTCAAAATATCGACGCACCAATCGCATGGTGTTCTGTGAAGTGGCGCGCGCGGATTGGCTATCATGACCAGTTGATTTCACAGCCCCAAGCCCACGGTGCACTTCCACCAGGTGGGATGACTCGCTGAGAGTGGCGCGAGTACCAGCGCCGCCTGGCTCGTGTCCATTTTCGAAATCCCCGGCCAAGCCACAAGCCCACATGACGTACTACGTCCAGTCGCCCCACGCCCCGCCGACGCTCCAGCGCTCGTACTCGACCGACAGCAACCAGAGCCCACTGCACCACAAGCGCAACTCGGCCGACGCGTACCTCCCGAGCGATATGCAGTCGCAGCTCGAACTCCTTCGCGCGATCAAGCAGCGCAACCACCAGCTCCGCTGCATGCTCGAGGAGATGCAGCCGATGCAAGCGCCCGGCGCCGACGGCCAGCACAGCCACGAGTACTATACAGCACAGCTCAACCAACCCGAGGAGCTGCCCGAGGACCTCAAGGCCATCTTCCTCTCGTACTTCCCAGTCGGTCACAACGCGGCGGCGGCGTGCGAGTTATAGTAGACGCGCCGCGCCCACCTATCTATGTTGTAGTGTCCCTATTATCTAAGATTTATAGTCCAAGGCGATCTTCCTTGCCTCCTCCTCCTTCTCTTGGCACGCAGAGGCCGTCGCGCGACCCAATTTTGGTGGTGAATGGTGCTTTGTCGAGTAGAGTTTGTAACCCGGCTGCAACGCCATCGCGGAGCGTAAAGGAATCCGAGCAGTAGGACTTCACACGAGTGTTGGTCGTGTTTCTGCGCGGGTGATGACCAAAATATCACGTTCGTTCACCCTTGGTCGCTCCTGTGCGAAGAAGCGGCGACGTCGGACAGAGTTGGCCACAAGGACGACGCATCCTAGTGTGGTTGGAGATTCAATCTGGCCAGCGACTCGTCTCGCTTGTGAAGCTCGTTTCGATTTAGACTGTAGGCATCTGAGTTGGGCATGCGTTGACACGACGGGCGACGACTTTGCCGTGTTGCATGCAAACTTCGTACTGCTTATTCCAGAAATGTCATCGCTGAACCACTCTGGACGAAGCTCAAGATTTAATCTGGTCTGTTGACGTAATTCACGAACCTGCAGCAGCAAAAAGACGACGCGTCCAGTTGCCCAGATTCGGCCGACACCACCCCTTCGAATTCGTCACCATAGGAATGGCATCCCGGGCCTCGACGCTGAGGCGAGACGGGACCATGCAAAGAACTCGATGTGGGCAAGCCAGTGCCAGCAACACAGAGTCGTGAGAGACCTGTCTCGAAGTGGTGGCGGACGCGCAAGGAAGCCTTGGAACGTAATGAATCTCGCGGGCCAGTGTCGCCAGCATCCAATTGAGGCTTCCGAACAAGTGTGGATTGTGCAGCTTGGTACTCACTGAATCGTCAGCTAGGTTCGAAGCCACTGGATATGGGCTGCCGTCGTCGCTTGCAAACCCGCGTAGCGTCGATGCAGTGCCGACGCAAGCGAACCGTCCGGGAGCGCTTCGGTCGGTGCGTGGGTGCATAGTTACTCCGTGACATTAGAGATGAGTCATTCCCGCCCGCTGTAAAAGGAAGCGGTCGTGCATACGAGTGGATGCGAGCGCTGCTTCAAGGCCCGACTCGTTCCACCTTTGGTTCCCAGTTTGGCGGCGTCCCAGCGATGCGCCACGAGCTCTGGGAAAGCTGCATGATGTATCATCGCGTGTACTAGTATGTTAGATACCCCGGATGCTGTTACGGTCCTCTACACGATGGGAACTGCTCTTGCATTGTACTACAACACTGCAAGACTGCAAGACAACGGGCTTGAAAATTGAAGCTTGTTTGAAGGTTTGAGTCCCGTCACATCTTGAGCGATGACGACGCCAGTGACAACAGTGCAGTTGGCTGTCTCTTGAACGAACGACAGTCTAAACCTGGACGGGCTGCAGTAAACTAGCCACCCACTCCGCTCTCGGTGTCTCGTAACCTTTGCTGCGACCAAGCAACCACCCGCGTTGAAGCGAATACCACGTAGGAATCTCTTCCGTTGCCTCCTCCCACGCGCGTTGTTGGTTGTGGGAGGAACTGCTCGAATTGCTTGCCGTTGCGTCTAAGCTTTCAAGTGACCGCGAGACGAGCCAGGTAGCTTTGTGTAGACAGGCCGATCCTCGGAGATTCATCCACCGCATCTTCCTCGTGCACAAGGCTGCGACACACGACGCACGGATGACCTCGTTTCGAACGGCATTGCCCGACGAACCGAGAAACACCCCAGCCTCCCGAGCCTGTCAAATTCCGAGTGCTTGACGCGCGTCTCCGCAGTCCACTCTGCTCAACGCAGCACCGTCCTCGCGTCTCTCTTCGTGTCGATACACGCGCAACGTCGGCATCTGTACGACGAAAGCCTTCTTGCGATGGGCCTCCGGTGGCTTGCTCTCCACGACGACACATTGACATCCTTGGCCATAGCAAAGGGGTGAACGGTCGACCTAACCGACAATTATTGCACGTGTGAGGAAGTTTGGTGTGGAGCGTGTGAGCTCGCTATCCACAACACTCTTAAAAAGGGGTGAATGGGCCATGGATCGACCAAGAATAGCCTGTTTCCGGTGGTTGCGTGGCTTGCAAACGCCTCTCGAAGACGACAAGCTCGGTGTCCATCTTCGTACTTGTCGCTCACGCCTCAAGACCTAGGAGACCCTGTATGTTGATCCTTTGCGGGTGCTAGCCTGAGCTTTGTACGGCCGCAAAACTGGGGCTGCTGTGATGGATCAAAGAGGTGGCAACAGCAGGGACTTTGTCCGGTAGGCGTCAATGGTGGCGGGCGTACTGCCTAGCCAGTCAACACTGCAGATCTGTACCGGTAATCGGTGCCCAGGACAACGTCTACCTGTGTACATGAGCACGCTAGCATCAAAACCTGCCAGACTAGCGATGGCCGTGCGGCCCTATTTGTGGGTCACGCAACTCTGGCGGCCGAGAGATAGCACTTCCCGGCGACGGTCTTTGATGCGCCAAGCTCGTCGTTCGACAGCTCCCTGCCGCTGCGACTGTAGGCGAACGCGGTCGTTGCCGAGACCAGGATCGGCAATTGGTGGTCGTCAGTCAGTCGCGACTATAATCGGTTGCAAGTTGGTCGCGAGAAAGTTGCTGCAACTGTAATTCCTTTCGTAGTTTCTTCTATTACCATGACAACTATGCACAACTATCTAACCAACTAAACGACTAACTATGGACTACCTACCTATCTATCGACTCTAACGCTTCTTTTTCCTAAATACACCACCTAACCCGCGTGTCGCCTCGAGGTCGCGGATGCGCCGGTCGCGCTGCA